GATTTTATTGAATATTTCCATCATGCGCATCTTCAGTTAGAATACTAAACAGGTTCTGGCGGTCTATGGAATCATTAAGACTTTTTGAAGTCGATATAAAGCTGGTCAATATGGCTGGCAGAACAATAATCATTAGTAGAACAGGGATTTAATTAGAAGAAAAGGGAATCGATAGTATCGATAGGAATCGTTAAGGGATCGGAGGATCGATATTAGCATAAAAAACTTTTATATGAACAGTAGATCCTATGTAGCCATGGAAGGAAAAATAAAATGCTAACAATTTAAAGAAGTGTTAAACAGATCTGCCCACCATCTCATATTCTATTCAACTGCATACTAAATTATGTGTTTAAGATGCTGAACCGGGAAGAGGACGGTAAATTTCGATGAACGGGTTTAATTTGTCAAATCTCACATTTGTAGACGACATTGGTATTTTTCCCAACTCAATAACAGAAATTTATTAAATGGTCAATGAGCTACTAGTACAATGCAAATTTGTGGGACTGCAGATCAACACAGAAAAAAGTAAGATAATGATGAATATCCAAAATGGACGAGTGAACGTCAGAAACCGAGAAATTAGCTTTGTTGAACAGTATGTTTACATAGGACTGGCCGTGAAAAAAATAAAAACCAGATCAGAAGAAATAAATAGAAGGATGGACTTGGGATGGAAAATATTGTAGCCTAAAAAACATATTTAAATTTTAGTTGTTTGGCAATAATAACTTTCAAAAAAAAAAAAAAAAAAAAAAAAAAAAAAAAAAAATAACATATTTAAAACTCAAATACCTTCAGTTATCAACGTAAAAGTACTAGAAAACGAGTTTATTCGGTAAGTTCAAACGTTGGCTACAACCGAAAAAAAAGGATGATGAACTCAACAAAATACAATTACAATATTCCCGAAGCATGCTAGAAATTAAAAGAAAAGACAAAATCAGCAACAGAGGAGTCCAAAGTCAGGTGGAGCATAAAAGGTTATCGAAGGAAGCTGTTTTATTGAAATGAGGTTGGACTGTTCATGTAGTCAGGTCGAATTCCTAAAGGTGATCGAAACTGGCACAGAATGGATTCAGAGGAATAATAAGAGAAGAAAAGGAATACTTGTCACAAAATGGAATGACGAAATGGTGTAGAGAGAGGATGACGGTTGGGCAGTGGCAAGAAATAGAAATAGTTGAAATTCAATAATAAATTTAAATTAAATTATTAACTTTGTAATTTATATTTTTACTTTCACTTACCTATATATGTAATATATAATAAGGGAAAGTATTGCGTTCGTGAAAATGATCAAATCTGAGTTTTCAACCAAGTCTCGTAAAATGGTCTGTGAACAGCCTAGCTCAAAAACGAAAAGTGATAGTACGAAACTGATATTAGATATTTAAGATAGGTATATTCCTTGGAATATAATATATAATATAATATAATATGGATGTCAGAAACTTTTTCGTTAAAATCGACTTATTTGAAGTGCCACTTTATATCGACGGTGAAACATATTTTTACAATGTTCTCGAAACCGGCTCCCATGATTTTAATTAAACTCGGTGTATAATTGTATAATTAAGTGATATTTAATACCATTTAGGTATTATCCCCTTTAAAGTACCTTTAATATGGATTATTTAAAAAAAATAACTCACTTTAATAGAGAGTAACTATAAAAAATAGCTAAATACGAGGTTTGAAAGAATATGGTAATTGGGAACTGAGGAAAAAAAGAAAAATGCTTATCCAGGTTGAAAATAAATCTCCGGAAATAACAGTCATGATGTATATGTATTAGTGGAGAATTTTATAAAAAAATAATATAAATAAATAAAGTTGTAGCAGATAACGGAAATTGACGAAAAAAATATAAATAATAATTTTAGAAAACTAACATTATTTAACGCAAATCACATGTTTCCAAGGAAATTAAATGAAATTTTCATACTAAATGTAAACTTTTAAATGTTTTTTTAAGTTTGAAAAAAAAAGTATGCAAAATCCACCGAACCAAGCCAATGTCATTGTTCAAAATACTATTTCATGGATATGTTTATGACCTTAAGTTCATTTACTGTAGTTTAATAACTCTTGATATGGTATTATATTTAAATAATTAAGCCATTAGATAGGCCATTTATTTATTTGATGAATTTTCTTTTTGTAAAATCCTAACATTATCCACTTTCAATTAGTGTGACAACTTTTGACCTATCCATAGCAAGGCAATGAAAAACTCATAATAATTTTAGTAAACTTTACAATGAAAAATAACAGTTTAATAACTAATAGTCCTACAATCCATAATCATTTATAGGTAGGCCTTTCGGTTGACAGAATGATTATCTCCAATTTCAACATTCTTTATAATTAATTTTAGTGATGTTTCTTGTAGCAAAATTTATACCTTTATTCACAGTTCTATATTTCAACATTGCAATCACCAACTCTGGAATCAACTTGCTCACTGTCTGCATAGATATGATTTTTTTATCTAGAAATATCACTAAAATAGCATTACTGAAAAATGTTGAAATTGGAGTTAGTCATTCTGTCAACTGAAAGGCTCAGAGACTGAAGTTATAAAGTTTATAAACTAAATTTTTATTGCCTACCGTCGATATTATAAATAGACTTTTTGAAATTGTATATGGTATTAATGATATGTAAGATTTAAGCTAAAGCCTACCTATTTCAGAAAAGTGTTTATATCTTTACATATGTTCATGAAGAAATAAACAAGAATTGAACTAGATTTATTTTCCTGAAAATTGATCAAACAAAAGATTTAAGTACGATTTATTTGATAAACTAAAGCAATGTAAACTGGCTTAAGGTAGATCAGTGTAAAAATTTCAATACTCACTAATATTGCTAATCAAAAACTTTTTGCCATAGCTTAGTATTGTCAAACAATAGTTTCTGTAAAAAGTAGAGGAAATAGTGAAGATTGTGTGATGCAGGCAAAAGATTTTCTTAGTTTCACTTAGTCATCTTTATTCTCTCATTCACCCCTTTCTGACACCAGGATATGAACCCGTAATCTTACATTGGAAATTGAAAAACTGTAACTTCCTTAATAGTTGTCCAAAATGAACGATTTTTATATGGCTTTATAGGAAATTTCATTCACTCAGGGAGCTCTGAAACGTATAGATCCGTCGAAAACTGCATATCGGAAATTTGACCCGATTGCAATATATTCCTTACCTAGGATAGGCAGGAAAGTAATATATATATATATATATATATATATATATATATATATATATATATATATATATATTTTAAAAATATAAAATGAATGTGACAAATGTTTGTATTTTTGACAAATGGTGACACATCAAAAAGCAAGGTAAATAATTGTACAATAGATGAAGTAGATTGGTACTGTAAAAATAGTTTATTTAAAATGTGCATAGTTTCAGTGAATATAAGGGTTGCTCTGATTATGGGGAAATTGTCCTGATTGTAATTGTAAAATTGTAACTGTATTAATAAATAAAATACATTTAGTAAATTTGATAACAGAAAATAATAATATGAAATCACTTGTTGAGAAACTACCCACTGGTAGCACTCTAAAAACAAAATGTATTTACAATAAGTGATCTCGAGGCCATCTTCTTTTCAGACGCCTTCGAGGGTTATCAGGAATAGAAGAGGAAGCAAGGTTAGAGACGAGAGGATTCGGATGGTTCTGAAGTTTATTATGGAAGGATTGGTATCTGGATTGGGCAAAATCAGAAACATAAGGAACATTAAGGTCATTATGGATTATTTTATTGGTGACAAAGTAAGGAGCATTGAGGATTTTCCGAAGAATTTTGGTTTGTAAGGATTGGATACGAGAGGAATTCGATGGCTTAGTGGAGCCCCAAAGCTCAACTCCGTAAGTCCAAATAAGTCTTATTTTAGTAGTCATGTATATGAGTCGTTTGTAATTAACTGGAAGCTTAGGGCGTTTGTCTACTAAGTGTTGGAGTAGTCGGAAATGTCGAGCGGTTTCTTGTCGTTTCAGTCTGGTATGAGGATTCCAAATTAGACTTTTATCCAAGTAAAGTCCAAGGTTTCGGATTTTTTCAACAGGGATAAGTGGGGTATTATTAAAGGATGAGGTCATAGGTTTACGTCGCAGGGTAAAAGTGATTTGATGGGATTTATTTTAATCCTCCAGTTTTGACACCATTCTTCAAGGTTTGTGATGTGTGATTGAAGAGTTTGGGATGCAGTGGTTGGGTCATTATTAACTGATAGGACACATGTATCCATCGGCATACGTGGTAATAACAGTGTTAGGATGGGTTGGGATATCAGCTGTATAAACTATGTAAAGGATAGGACCAAGGATACTACCTTGAGGAACACCAGCGGACTGGGAAAAGAGGGATGAGTAAGTATTATTGTGATTTACTTTAAAGTATCTATCAGTTAGATAGGAACGGATAATGAGGAAGTATTTAGGATGTAGCAATTTACGGAGTTTGTAAAGTAGTCCCGTGTGCCAGACTCGATCAAAAGCCTGGTCCCGAAACGTTAGAGATAATAAATGTGATTAGAGGGATTTGAAGGAAATTGGTGGTATTTTTTGAAATATATAAATATATATAAACGTAAGCTTCCTAAAAAAAAAAGAAAAATAAGAAGAAATTATTATTTGCTGTAATGAACATATTTGATTAATGGTTTCTTAACATAAATATTTTTATTTTAACTAATAAAATTATCGAAATATAACCAGAGCCTGAATTTTTAACGAAATTCTTAAGTCTTCTCATGGATTTATCTTCCTAAATCCGATGACATTTCGCGGTTTAAATCTTGAAAAATGTGACCAAACGCGCGAAAGATATTCCCGCCTAGAGGACTCGTAGATACTGCCAGTGAGGTCGAGAGATATAATAAAAAAAAAAAAAATGTGGAACGACGAAGAGAGGAGCCGAGGTAAGGTGGGGGGGGGCCGAGAAAAAACTCGGGGGCCGTGACCAGTGGTTCCAGCGGGAGTCTGTAGGTAGCAGCACTACCGCTCCCTGGTCGCCATTCCTTCCTCCTTCAGTGTCTATACCACTCCGTCCTGGTGTGTATATCAAGTCTCTTGTGATCGCGTGTGTATCTCATCCGTGTACAGTGCTGTTCGTGTGTGGCTTAATGCTATCTATCTGTGTATATAGACCACCTGTCAGAGGATAAAGGTATATATATATACAATCTTATCTATATGTATATCAAGCAGGCATGCATCCACAGCTTCCTAGACATAATGTATAGTTGAGTAGTCGTTCCTTCTTGAAATGTAGCCGTACCTCTTGAAATAATCTTCTGTGAATGAACTGATTAGTAATGGATCCAGATATTTTTTTAGGGACTTCAGCCCAAACCAATGCTTTATTATATACATAAAACAATAATTAATTCGGAGAAAAAAAGACAGATTAATTATATGCAATGATTTTTAAATTAAAAAAATTAGCTTGTATTTAGTAGCTTAATATACATTATAGCTATTTATCTTAGATCAATCACAGTGAGAAATATGTACCAACGATAACAAAAAAAAAAATCATTTTTCCATTTTTGAGAGGCTGCCACCCGAAAACTTTTATGTATATATAACAATAATTACTTCGGAAGAAAAATTAAATGTAATGATTCTTGAAGCCATTTAAAAAAGAATAAAATAAAAAAAGGCTTTTTGTATTATACACTGTTATAATTAGTAGCTTTATATGCATTCTAAGTATTTAACTTAAATAATTAACAGTAACAAATATGGATCGATGTTAAGAAAAATCATTTTTCCATTTTGTGGGAGGTGTCTTCAGTCCGAAAGCTTACCTATATAAAGGATATAAAGTAAAGCAGATGTCAATCTAACATTAGAATAAATCATAATATACCTTCCACTATGAATGAAGCACTTTATGATAAAGAAAAAAAAAATCAAAATGTGGTTAAATTCATAAAATCCATAAAAAATGTTCATTTAATTTAACCGTTTTATAGCAGTAAACATTTGAATGTACCATAAATCAACTTCTCATTGTATATAATTTAATGTATAATCAGTAATAATGGCGCTAATAACCCGATTAGGTAGATCCAGAATAAATTGATAAAAAAAAATTAAAAATATATAAATTAACTACAAGACTGATCTGAACATAAAGAAACTTAGTATTACAAAGCACACACATTGGTCAAGGAACCAAAATATCAAAAGGACATTAAATTGATATATTTATAACATGTAATAAACGATTACATAAATATAAAATAAACGATAAATTCTATAAATATAAAACTATTTATTAAGTATTGATTTAATAGTCAGAGATTAAAAAAAATAAATTAAATATCTACAATGAAAAGATATAACATTAAAAATGAACTAAAAAATCTATCATATTCATCAGAAACATTTTTATTATTTTATTTTTAACTAAATTCAATTTAATTTTTTTATTATAAATAATAAACAATAGTATAATAAATTAAATTATTAAACACATTAATTTAGTATAGTCCGTTAAAAAAATTAAATAATTATCTTAAAATCTTAGACCGTATTCAAAATATAAAATTTGGACTTAAAAACTTAAAATATTGCATGAAATTTCAATTAGTGAAAAAAAAACGACTATAATTAAAAGAACAGAGCAAGTTTATTAATTTAGATAAAATTATTAATCTTCATTAAAATATTTTTAAGTTCGTTAAACTTATTATGTTCCTTTAAGAAAAAAAAAATCTGATATAAAAGAGAACGAAATATTATTTAAAATTTTATATTAAACCTTTTTTTATTATAATCCGTTCTTAATACTAATAATAATTATTAGTATTTTTGTGACGTTATTTTTGGTTTTTCGGCTTGATTTTCTGTAAATTAACACAAGCTTTAATATTTTATACAACTTTTTATTTATTTTACACCATATACATGTTATTATAATATGTATATTTTCTCTATATTATACATAGCCCTCAGATAATTTAATCATAAATTCAAACCTTCAAAAAAGGATTTTAACATTTCTATGTTATTTTTTATTAGCATTTATCTCGATGCCATAATGCAACTAATCTTAAATATTTACAGCTGTTATCTGTAATTTTAATTGCATTCAGTGATCGTTAATATAAACTAATAAATGCTACTAGGCAATAAGATTTTTCTTATTAAAGCAAAAACATTTTGAAATTGCTTGTAGTAATTATAATCCAATTAATTAACAGTATTCATACTTAACATATAATGTTAATACCGTGAAATATATTAATTTATAATCATAGGATAAATGCGATTAAAATAAATTCTTTCATCTGCAATAAATTATACATTTCTGTATTTTAAATTGTCAAATAATATAATTATCATACTTTATGACGAATATATCATAAAATCTATAATTACACGTTAAACAGCATCTCATAGATTCTTAGAGGGGAATTAATTCGAATCCGGCCTGGAGGACCAAAGACATAAGTTTTGAAATCCTTTGTCAGACTAGAAAATGTTGATTAACTGTTGGTTATCGCGACTTTCTTGTCTATATTAGAGGGAATGAGAAAATTTAATTTTAATTCTGTCTCGTTATAACACATCTTTAAACCACTACAATGTTTTTTATAAACTTCATGTTTTGTATTTTAAAAAATTTAAGTATATTGTTAAATAATAAATTAGATTGATAATAAATAAAGTTAACGAATTAAAGATACAAATATATTTTTTTTAAAATATATTATATGTTATTAATTTTTCAGATTTAAATTTATGATGATATTTTAGTTTATACATTTAAATGTGACAGCGTAGGGTCCTCAAATTGATTTTTTCTGATAAAAGAGTATTTAAAATTCATTGATTTGTTTGAAATTGAAGCATATGAAAAGAAATACAATTTTTATCAAGCGGATAAATTTGAATTGTTGAAGCCGACGTTTTTGGCTTTCTTGCGTTTGGCATCTTCTTGATTAACAGCAAGCAAATACAAGTGTAAATAGGAATTATAATAAAATATTAAAAAGTTAAATATCATATTTTTTAAATTGCTAAATTGAACTCATTTGTTGATTGTCACTTCCTTTTAATTTAATAAAGGAATTTTAAAAACAAGGTTTTTTTATTTACACCCCTAACTTGACATTACAGCCTCTTGGGCCTAGCGATAAAATCTCTACTCCTTATCTCACCTTAGCGGTTGGACTAAGAGGTCCCTCATCCAACTCCTTATTCGATAAAACAAAATAATTACTAGAGTAATGTAAAAATAAAAAATAACATAATAATAATAAGTTGTTGTAAAATTAGATTTAAATATAATTTTGGAGTGCTTCAGTCTATGTAGGTTTAATTTAATTAGTAGAAGTAATTTTGGATTTTCATGTTCATTATTTCTTGAAACATGGACTCCATGTCAATATGATATTAAATTTACTTAATCACTCATTCTCTTGAGGATATATATATATATATTTTTTTTAATGTATTAATATATATAGTGCAAGTACGGAGTGCACAATTAAAGCGATTTCACTTATATAATATTAAAAAATGTGTGTATTAATAACGCAAACATACATATTAATATTTTATTTAATTTGTGTGTAAAAGGTGATTTTTATTTTCTGATCACAATTTAATGATTATTTTTAATCGCATTAATGAACATCAAAGATCGGTTCAAATTTTTATTTATAAATCAGGCATGGTTTTTAAATTAAAAATCAAATATAATAATTATTACACGATTTTCTGGAAAAAATCATTTCAAATCCTAGATTGTATTATTATGCACAGATCCCTTTTTATCAAATTATTAATCTCCATCTGAAACTTTGTAAATAGCTTCATCTGATCATAACCTACAAATATTTTATTTATGAAAATTCAAAGAATTTAGGCGTTGACAATTTGGAGATTAGCAAATTTTTTTCCACTTAAATCGTAAGATAATATGATAAAAAAGTCGAAAAAAAAGGTGGCCTACAAAAATATTGATCCGTCGTGACCTCCACTCCGAAAAACCTAAAATAACGAGGTTATGTAGAACAAATGCCCCAATATTTTTATAAAACACCTATATTTTTTATGATTTTGTGATCATCATATCTTACGATTTAAGTGGAAAGCAAATGGGAATTCATGTGTTTTAGTAACTAATTAAATTTTTCCATCTCCAGATTGAAAATACCCTAATTCTGTGAATTTTGATTAATAAAACATTTGAAAGCTTCAATGAGATGAAGCTAGAGAGAGAATCACTTTATTATTATAAAATAAAATAAAATGGTGCTGCCCAATTATATTGGGTTGCTAACAACACAGCATACTTATTAATCACTACAGACAATTTTTAAAATTAATATACAATTATTATTTTTTTAAATTTCTTTATTGAGTATTATAACAATCTATCTCTTGGACATTGTTTATAGTGAGGTAGGATGACATTCACACTATATATACAAAAAAAAAAATAAATAAATAAATAGAAACAAAATAATAATCAAAAGTATATAATATACAATTAAATAGGATTAACAATATGTATGAGCATAGTATACAATATTTTATATATATATATATTTTTTTTTTCCTTTTTCTTTTTTTTTTTTTTTTTACTATTTCTTTCATTCATTTATTATCATTCTATACCCTTTCTCTTCCTTCTCTCACCTTATACATCTTCCCACTCCTCATATTCTCTCCTCTCTCTTTCTAACCTAATTCATAAATAATACAAAGTTTCAGGCGGGTGTTATTAATTTTGTAAAAAGGGGTTTGTACGACGTATTAATATTATTCTGGATAAACGCGGTTCTTCTCGTAATCGATTGGCTTTCTATCTATAGGTTTATTTTTATCTTATCCTTTATCTATCTTATCTGTAGCCTATAGGTTTAGCTATAACTTACCAAATCTAATAGCATTTCGCATTGGAAGATGAAAGAGATAATACCTGGGCTCCGCAATGAAGGCGGTAAAGCAGAAAGAAAAAGAAAAAGGTGAAGGAAGGAGAAGAGATAAAGACAATGATAGAGTAGGAATTATTCATTAGGAAGGACAGGACGATAAAGTCGAGGAGACCCGAGGCTGCCGTCTTCGAGTCTGGACGGTAACAGTCCACGCCTCCTCCTTACTACTTTTTGTTCTTGGGCCGTTCTTTCGTTTAGGTCTTCGTCTTCC